GGGGGGGGCGGCCCCCCCCCCCCCCCGCCTCAGCAGCGCCGGGGCTGCCTCCCACGGAAAGTTGGGGGCTGCGCGGCCGGTGCCCCCGGCGCCCCGGAACGAGCGGCGGCTCCTTGGGCAGCGGGAGCGGTGCGGGGGTCGGTGCGGAGCGGTGGTTGCGGGCAAAGCGCGGGGAGAGCGGGTCACGGCTCTCCCCGGTGTCACGGTGGGGGGGGGGGGGCTGCTTCGTGCCCGCTTTCCCTTCTCAGCCGAGCTGCTTCCACCCGCCCGGTGGGGTCCCGGTGTGGGATCGCCGTGCTGCCGCTGCCCCCCCTCCGTCCCGGGTGGCTGCGTGTCGGGGACGTCCGGCTCGTCCGTGGCCCTGGGACGGAGCCGCCGGGTTGGGCGACCGGCTGCCCGCAGCCCGGTGGCCTCTGTCGCCAGCCCGGGTCCCGGCTGTGAGGCCGGTAACTCCCCTCAGAAGGAGCCCCGAATGGAATAGAGACCGTCCTGCTCACAGAGCTGTGAGGGACACGCGATGCCTGTAATTCCTGACTTAACACTGATTTTCTATTTTTAAAATTTTTTTATTAAAAGTATTTCAGTGAAAAAAATCCAGGTAAAGCGACGTTGTGGCTTTTTTCTGTGTGTTCTTGGTGAGCAAATACATCTAGGTGATAGGAATTAAGAGGTTCTCAGGCCGTCAGAGCAGCCAGGGTCCCAGAAGAGGTCCCCAACCGAGGTGATGGGGGCAGAATCCTCCTCGGTTTTGAGGAGGAGCTTGGTCAGGGGGTGAGAAGGCTCCTTCTGCCATTCAGTTCATCCAGGTTTGTGGTCTGCTCCACCTGTGGATTAGTAATTTGCCTAATACATCATAGTTGAACGATACATCTAACAGTAAGCTAAATAGAGGTAAGGTATTCCTGGGTTGTGGCTTTTTTTTTTTTTTGTTTTTTTTTTTTTTTTTTTCCAAATTGTTGTATTTTATTTTTATCTATAGGAATTCTGTTCTTCAGTAGTCTTTATTTATCAAGCAGAAAAAAAAAAGTTGTGTGGAAATTGAGCTGAAGTACAGTTGTGCTTGGGCACTGCCTGAGGGTAACTGAGCTCCTCTGCTGCTTCTCTGAGAGCTGTCAGGTCCTCTCCTAGTGACTTACTTAACTTCCTATTACACGGGTGATTCTGAACAAAAGGGATGGTATTTCAAGGATGTTTTTCCTCTCTTACTTGCCCTGTTTACCAGATCTATAAACCAAAAAAATGTTACCGAGCACTATATGGCTACTTGATTTTGAGCCACACCGTGGCCTCGGTCTCGCAGGTGAATTGAGCAGTGAAAGTAGAGGTTTTGCACAGATCTAGCAGCAAGAGTAGGTCTTTTGCAAAGAGGAAGAAGAGGGCATTTAATTTCAAATAAGAAGGCATAGTTAAGAAACTTGTTAGAGCCCTGTTAGTAAATTTGTGTGACTTTGCTGTTAGTCACTTCATTTTCCAAAGAAGTATGGAAAAAAATCTAATTTTTGCTATGTAGTTCTTTACCCTGTCATTTAAGTGAAATTTATTATCACAGTCTGTTTTGGGGGTCATTTTGATAGTCATGTGTGAATTAAACGTAGAAACGTTGGGGTTTTTTTAATGTTGTTCTTATATTTTTCGCTATTTTAGATTATTTCCAGGTATATTTATGCTGTGAGGAGCATGTTACCGGGAAACAAGCTTGTAATTGGCTTCAGGAATATTGAGATAATAAGGCCTGTGGGATCTGGGGCTGGTTTTCTTCCTCCTTCCTGCCCTCCCCCTCTTGTTTATATGGCACTAATCACAGTGGTGCTCTGCTCTATGGCTGGAGTGCCTGTCCTCGAAACCCACCGCTGTCAGGTATTCTTACTAACATTTACCAGAACTTAAGAAAAAAATTGAATTAGCGTAATGTGTTTAAAAATAAATAAATAAAATGGAAATGTGGATGTTTTGATAGAGAAGACCCCACAATGCCACAGTGTTGTTGGAGGTATTTGCTGGTATTTTGTCTTTTATCATTCTGCTAAAATGCAGTTTAATGTTTTCTGTTTAAAAAACCCTACCCTTCTAACAGTTATGGGAACAAGGTGCAGAGGTTCATGGTGCATGTTTTGTGCTACTGCAGGGAACACCCATTTTCGGCAAAGGCAGCTTGTTTGGGTTAAGATAATGTGTTTTCTTTGAAATAACTGTTGATCGTGAAAGTTTTCTTTTTTTTTTTTTTTTTAAATTCTTTTAAAAATTGCCATCTGTCACAGTTAGTGCTTAGCATGCAGGCATCCCTACTGACCGACTGAGAAAGGGTCACGCCGAGTTTTGCCATGTTGGAAATGGGGAGGTTTGGATGGGAAATGAGGTCTGGATTCCTATTAAGCAGAGCCTGCAGAGTCCAGAAGGTCCTTAATACCGTTGCCCGGCCCTTGGGTGGGCTGTAAAGCTATGGACTGGTTTGTAAGTGACGTGCAGTTCACAGCTTTTTATTCTCAAGGTTTTCGTTGAGGAGTGGTTTTTACTGATTGGTGTGCTTCCAGAACTGGCATATAGTGCCACGGCAAAGTCTCCAACATGTGCTGTTGTCTTCGGGGATTTGTACTTGTGTAATAGGTGGGATAAAGCTGGGATAAAGGAGCCTTTCCTTACACAGTCTTTGATTGAGATTTCTTGTTGATCAGGAAGATGCTCACAAGCATCACAGGAAAACTCCTTCCACCTTCCTTAACTGTAATAGCAGGGTTTGTGACCTAGACAAAAACCACGTGGGTGGTGCATCCCGGCTGGGGTCCTGCCGTTGAGCATGGCAATTCCTGTGGGAAAAGCAGTGATGCCTGCTCCCAAACAGCAAACGGGCAGGGGTCTTTGTTTGGCTTAAAGATGAGTGGGTTTGATCCAAGAGGTTGTATAGATGAAAGAAGCTCAGAAACAGGGAGCAGGTAGGGAACATGAGAGCGTGTGCCAGCAGAGGAAATGCTGGAAGAAATGGAAAAAATCCAAGAGCAGCCGGGTCAGCAGGAGCAGATGGTGTGCACCCCAGAGTCCTGCGTCTTGCTAAGAATGAAGTGATTGAACACAGATTCATCACACCCAGGCTCATTAAAGCCAGCTATTCTGCTGGGCAGTAGCCTACAGTAGAGGTTGTACCTATATAACTTCCCTTAAAGAAGAGAATGAACTCGAAGAATGAACTCAGCAAGAGTTATTTCAGTTCTGGAAAAGTGGTTGAAGTTAGCACTAAAATTAAAGACGTCAGACACTTCACAGAATGAAGGGCATGGCAGGGACAGGACAGCGTGGGTTTTGTGGGCTGTGTAATCATACCTCCCCCTTGTACTGGAGAGTCTTCGTCTAGCCATGTAGTGTGGCTAAAGGCAGAACCATTAAGATTTTATTTAGGCTTGCACAGAGCCTGCGGCAGATCTTTCACCAGGGGCTTTTAGAGGAACTCTGCAAAATGTCTATAATCTCTTGCATGAAAGGTCCATGCTAGGTTTGTTTTTGTTTTTACAAGGAGGAAGGAACAGACTAGTCATGTGCCGTGCAGTTATGGAGACTGTCAGAAATAGAAGAAACTGAACAGCATCGGCTGGATTTATATTCACTCACGTTGGTCAAGCTGAAAATGTTGTTCCCTATGTTTTGGCTCCTAATAAAGTGAAGAAGAACTGAAAAAATAAGTGTTTTGAATTCCCTGGGGCCACAAAACCCCACAGAAGCAAAGGTGGTCCCCCAGTGGGCTTTGTTCCATAGCTCAGGATTGATCTGCTGGGGGATGTCTCTACACGTATAGCCAAGACTGGCCAGTTTGTCAGGATGTTGGTAACTGGTTCATTTTATTTTTGCTCCCTGAGTGTGTTGGGACGTCAGTACCCCGCGCCAACTGCCGTGCCCCAGGTGTCGACGATGGCTGTTTTGCCTCCTCTTCTTCTGGGCAACCAATTTGTGACCCCATTTTGAAGCTGTCCACCAGCCAGTACAGCCTCTGCTCCCTGAGTGCAGGACCCCAGAGTGCATTCATGATGGGTGCCAAGCACCAACGGGCTGATGTCTGCGTGGATTTTGGACAAAGAAGTGCTTGATAGAGTCATCGCCAACTGATCAGCCAAAGAGAGGTACCTTGTGCTAGTTTCACTGGTTGGTGGTGTTGCTGCGGTCTCTGAAGACTTTTGTCTGGGGAATTATGGAGCAGGATTAGACTCAAGATTTACACTGAAATGCTTATCTCTTTTTATTAGTTTTTGACTTATTTGATTAATTCTCACTTGGTTGCCTGATGGTATCTTTAATTCCCGGTTTTATAAACCTTAGTCTTATTTGTGGACTTGCGCTGTCAGCACAGAGATCCAATTTTCTTAAGAAAACGCATTCTTTCCTCTGCAAATGAACACGCAGTGTTATTTTGAGCTCCGAGGATGACAAGTACTAATTGTATGATGCTGGAGCTGCACAGACACTGCATTTTTTTAGCTGGGACTGTCCTTCCAGCTCAGTGTGAATAGGGAACGCAGACCGGCGATCTTGCTTTCCTTCCACAGGCTTCGTGAGTTGATTTGTGTTTATCGTGACTTGTCTCTATAGTTACAACTCTACAGTTTTGACTGTACTTTTGTGTTCAAAAAGCAGAAGTGTGAATAGATTTAAAAAAAAAAAAAAAATTGCTAAGTTAATACTTCTTTGGAAAAAGGCCAGTAAGGGTTGGCTTTTCCATACTGTTTTTTTATTCCATAAGCATAAATTAGTACCTGCATGGTAGTTGGCGTGGGATTAACTGTCTGCCTCAAACAGGCACAAAAGAATAAGAACTGTGCAGTT